CTCGCTCTCTACATAACAGAGTTCCATCGGCTCTGGACCTCCGTTGTCATATCGTCTCGGTTGACGATATGATGTCGAGCTGGCGCGAGCCTGTCTCAGACTGAAGTCTTCCTGCTCCGCAATTGAAATGGCTTGTTCTAGTGAATCTAGTTCAAGCCGGAACAGGTGAGTCTTGACGGGACCATCCGCAAGACCCTGCATGAACACCGAAACCAACGTGTGTTCATCCACCGGATTGGAACTTATACAACTCGTGAGATGTCGTATATGTTGAGCGTAAGCGTGCACATCACGCTTACCCTGCTTGAGCTTCAAGAGTTCGGTTCGAGCTCTGAACTCAGCTCTAGGCGGTTCAAACGTTTGTCTGAGCCGCGACTTGAAGACTTCCAACGACCCAAACGCGTATGGGTCGTGCAGCTTGAGCCCCAGTGCCCAAGTCTTGGCACGTCCTGCCAGATTTGACTGGGCAAATGCAACTTGCATATCCCCGTCGTCGATGCGACGCGCCCTTATGGCGTCATCCAATTCGACGAACCATCTCAAGAGGGAGTCTTCTTCGACCCCCTATACTTTGAGATGTCAATCTTCAAAGTCTCGGGCCGACGCGAGTGCATCGACCCGCCAGCAGCAGCCTGCTGCTGTCTCAACAGTTCAAACTGTTGAGCACCTTGTTCTCTCAACAACTCTGCTTGTTGAGAACCTTGTTGGTGAAGCAAGGCTACTTTCTCGCGTTCTGCGTCAAGTTCATTTTGAATGAACTTGGCGATAGTAGCATGTTGGGCATCTCTATTGAGAGCCTCTAGCATGACGCTAACAGCATGGATGCCCATGGTCGAACCCATTCGTTCAACCGCATCCCATTCGACATCGCTCAAATGGGAGTAGCCGTCACGCGTAGCGTGAAAGCTTTGGTCATCTTCATCATCCAACATATTCATGTTGGATGTGAACGCGGTCCTTGGACGGACTACGAAGTGCTACCAGGTGTAACGGGGCACCCTGAAGCTTGTACTGGTGACAGTACAAGCTACTTATTCTGATAACAGAATAAGGCGGTGCCTCGTAACTTCACGTACACTCGTACGTGCAGAGGAAGACGGTAAGAAGAAGCGAGTACTCGGTTAGAGTAAAAAGTAGAACTGTATTTATAATAGTTAATGTCTGCAATAAATCACTATTTATCTTCATCTAACTATGACTAAATACAAATGTGTAAATCAGTTATCTGCTCACCACTCATTGCGTGCGTCTGTCGTGGCGCGTCTTCGTTGGTTGATATAATGGCCTATATCAACCAATTAGGAACTACTCGGAAGTGCTACAGAATATTGTCCTTATGACAATATTCTGAGAATATAACTCTTATAGTTATATTCTATTAACAATTTCTTATAAATTGTTATGTAACGATTCACCCCGTTACACAATGTCTCTGTCATTTCCTGGGGACTTATTCCCTCAGGCTTCGAAGGACTTATTCCTTCAGCTTCCCGGGGACTTATTCCCGCGGGTTTCGGGGAACTTATTTCCGCCGTATTTGTAATCTTGGGACTTATTCCCTTTACTTCCTCTAGCTGTGGTTGCGCAACCACAGCGAGATCCTCTACGAAAGACTCTCCAGTCGATCTAGGATTATCGTTTCGCTTAACCTGAGCGATCGATTGTTTCTCTTCTAGATGTTCCCCGCTAGGGATACATCTTTGTCCCGGTCCACTCGACTTATTCGAGTGGTGGACCTTCGGCGCAGCCTGTGTTTCCTCACAGCCGCCGGAACTTTGCTCCGAAGTGTAACCGTTTGGTACACTAAGGTTTTGTGCAGTCGTACTAACGACCATACCACAAGTGAGGCCATCGCACTCACTCGTAGTACATCCACACGCTTGTGGACGCTCCAAAACGTTCTTCAGATGGCCATCTGATGAACAAGCGGCAGGCATCGTTACTGTTCGATGTTGCCAGTTTACCCGTGGTTCGTACATTCTGAGCCACGCTATTCCAAGGATGACATCAAATTTGTCATCCAAATCCAATACGATGAAGTCATCGTCATATTGGGTATCTTCTAGCGTATAGTGGATCTTCACTATACGCTTCATGACGGTTACGGATGCGCCTGTCGCAAGACGTACCGTCATCCTCGTAGGAGGTGTGTCACATTCACTGAACTTAAAGTGACCATCTTCTAGCGATTGGCGTCGCACAAAATTGTTGGACGCCCCACAATCGACTAGAGCTCGAAGGGACAACTTATTCGTCACTTCGAGTTTCAAGGTAATGAGTGAGACCTCATTACCTAGAGCAGCAACGCACAACGTTTGTGTGTTGGGAGCAACCTTCATCAAGAGGCCTACAAATTCTCTTGACGTTGCTGGACCAGTAGGGTGCTCCGCACCTACTGATCCTGTCCGTTTTTTGACGGTCCATCCCGTTGTTGCGTCTTTGCACCAACTGCGGACCCTCGTCCCTGCCCCTTTCTCATGGGTGGACGGTCACTACACCCAGTGTTGCGATACACTGGACGAGGGGAACTACACTCGTAAGCGTATTGTCCTGTCTTTTGACATCTGTTGCATTTCTGCAACTTCTTGTAGTCTGTAGAGCGAGCCTTCTCGCTCTCTACATAACAGAGTTCCATCGGCTCTGGACCTCCGTTGTCATATCGTCTCGGTTGACGATATGATGTCGAGCTGGCGCGAGCCTGTCTCAGACTGAAGTCTTCCTGCTCCGCGATGGAAATGGCTTGTTCTAGTGAATCTAGTTCAAGCCGGAACAGGTGAGTCTTGACGGGACCATCCGCAAGACCCTGCATGAACACCGAAACCAACGTGTGTTCATCCACCGGATTGGAACTTATACAACTCGTGAGATGTCGTATATGTTGAGCGTAAGCGTGCACATCACGCTTACCCTGCTTGAGCTTCAAGAGTTCGGTTCGAGCCCTGAACTCAGCTCTAGGCGGTTCAAACGTTTGTCTGAGCCGCGACTTGAAGACTTCCAACGACCCAAACGCATATGGGTCGTGCAACTTGAGCCCCAGTGCCCAAGTCTTGGCACGTCCTGCCAGATTTGACTGAGCAAATGCAACTTGCATATCCCCGTCGTCGATGCGACGCGCCCTTATGGCGTCATCCAATTCGACGAACCATCTCAAGAGGGAGTCTTCTTCGACCCCCTATACTTTGAGATGTCAATCTTCAAAGTCTCGGGCCGACGCGAGTGCATCGACCCGCCAGCAGCAGCCTGCTGCTGTCTCAACAGTTCAAACTGTTGAGCACCTTGTTCTCTCAACAACTCTGCTTGTTGAGAACCTTGTTGGTGAAGCAAGGCTACTTTCTCGCGTTCTGCGTCAAGTTCATTTTGAATGAACTTGGCGATAGTAGCATGTTGGGCATCTCTATTGAGAGCCTCTAGCATGACGCTAACAGCATGGATGCCCATGGTCGAACCCATTCGTTCAACCGCATCCCATTCGACATCGCTCAAATGGGAGTAGCCGTCACGCGTAGCGTGAAAGCTTTGGTCATCTTCATCATCCAACATATTCATGTTGGATGTGAACGCGGTCCTTGGACGGACTACGAAGTGCTACCAGGTGTAACGGGGCACCCTGAAGCTTGTACTGGTGACAGTACAAGCTACTTATTCTGATAACAGAATAAGGCGGTGCCTCGTAACTTCACGTACACTCGTACGTGCAGAGGAAGACGGTAAGAAGAAGCGAGTACTCGGTTAGAGTAAAAAGTAGAACTGTATTTATAATAGTTAATGTCTGCAATAAATCACTATTTATCTTCATCTAACTATGACTAAATACAAATGTGTAAATCAGTTATCTGCTCACCACTCATTGCGTGCGTCTGTCGTGGCGCGTCTTCGTTGGTTGATATAATGGCCTATATCAACCAATTAGGAACTACTCGGAAGTGCTACAGAATATTGTCCTTATGACAATATTCTGAGAATATAACTCTTATAGTTATATTCTATTAACAATTTCTTATAAATTGTTATGTAACGATTCACCCCGTTACACAATGTCTCTGTCATTTCCTGGGGACTTATTCCCTCAGGCTTCGAAGGACTTATTCCTTCAGCTTCCCGGGGACTTATTCCCGCGGGTTTCGGGGAACTTATTTCCGCCGTATTTGTAATCTTGGGACTTATTCCCTTTACTTCCTCTAGCTGTGGTTGCGCAACCACAGCGAGATCCTCTACGAAAGACTCTCCAGTCGATCTAGGATTATCGTTTCGCTTAACCTGAGCGATCGATTGTTTCTCTTCTAGATGTTCCCCGCTAGGGATACATCTTTGTCCCGGTCCACTCGACTTATTCGAGTGGTGGACCTTCGGCGCAGCCTGTGTTTCCTCACAGCCGCCGGAACTTTGCTCCGAAGTGTAACCGTTTGGTACACTAAGGTTTTGTGCAGTCGTACTAACGACCATACCACAAGTGAGGCCATCGCACTCACTCGTAGTACATCCACACGCTTGTGGACGCTCCAAAACGTTCTTCAGATGGCCATCTGATGAACAAGCGGCAGGCATCGTTACTGTTCGATGTTGCCAGTTTACCCGTGGTTCGTACATTCTGAGCCACGCTATTCCAAGGATGACATCAAATTTGTCATCCAAATCCAATACGATGAAGTCATCGTCATATTGGGTATCTTCTAGCGTATAGTGGATCTTCACTATACGCTTCATGACGGTTACGGATGCGCCTGTCGCAAGACGTACCGTCATCCTCGTAGGAGGTGTGTCACATTCACTGAACTTAAAGTGACCATCTTCTAGCGATTGGCGTCGCACAAAATTGTTGGACGCCCCACAATCGACTAGAGCTCGAAGGGACAACTTATTCGTCACTTCGAGTTTCAAGGTAATGAGTGAGACCTCATTACCTAGAGCAGCAACGCACAACGTTTGTGTGTTGGGAGCAACCTTCATCAAGAGGCCTACAAATTCTCTTGACGTTGCTGGACCAGTAGGGTGCTCCGCACCTACTGATCCTGTCCGTTTTTTGACGGTCCATCCCGTTGTTGCGTCTTTGCACCAACTGCGGACCCTCGTCCCTGCCCCTTTCTCATGGGTGGACGGTCACTACACCCAGTGTTGCGATACACTGGACGAGGGGAACTACACTCGTAAGCGTATTGTCCTGTCTTTTGACATCTGTTGCATTTCTGCAACTTCTTGTAGTCTGTAGAGCGAGCCTTCTCGCTCTCTACATAACAGAGTTCCATCGGCTCTGGACCTCCGTTGTCATATCGTCTCGGTTGACGATATGATGTCGAGCTGGCGCGAGCCTGTCTCAGACTGAAGTCTTCCTGCTCCGCGATGGAAATGGCTTGTTCTAGTGAATCTAGTTCAAGCCGGAACAGGTGAGTCTTGACGGGACCATCCGCAAGACCCTGCATGAACACCGAAACCAACGTGTGTTCATCCACCGGATTGGAACTTATACAACTCGTGAGATGTCGTATATGTTGAGCGTAAGCGTGCACATCACGCTTACCCTGCTTGAGCTTCAAGAGTTCGGTTCGAGCCCTGAACTCAGCTCTAGGCGGTTCAAACGTTTGTCTGAGCCGCGACTTGAAGACTTCCAACGACCCAAACGCATATGGGTCGTGCAACTTGAGCCCCAGTGCCCAAGTCTTGGCACGTCCTGCCAGATTTGACTGAGCAAATGCAACTTGCATATCCCCGTCGTCGATGCGACGCGCCCTTATGGCGTCATCCAATTCGACGAACCATCTCAAGAGGGAGTCTTCTTCGACCCCCTATACTTTGAGATGTCAATCTTCAAAGTCTCGGGCCGACGCGAGTGCATCGACCCGCCAGCAGCAGCCTGCTGCTGTCTCAACAGTTCAAACTGTTGAGCACCTTGTTCTCTCAACAACTCTGCTTGTTGAGAACCTTGTTGGTGAAGCAAGGCTACTTTCTCGCGTTCTGCGTCAAGTTCATTTTGAATGAACTTGGCGATAGTAGCATGTTGGGCATCTCTATTGAGAGCCTCTAGCATGACGCTAACAGCATGGATGCCCATGGTCGAACCCATTCGTTCAACCGCATCCCATTCGACATCGCTCAAATGGGAGTAGCCGTCACGCGTAGCGTGAAAGCTTTGGTCATCTTCATCATCCAACATATTCATGTTGGATGTGAACGCGGTCCTTGGACGGACTACGAAGTGCTACCAGGTGTAACGGGGCACCCTGAAGCTTGTACTGGTGACAGTACAAGCTACTTATTCTGATAACAGAATAAGGCGGTGCCTCGTAACTTCACGTACACTCGTACGTGCAGAGGAAGACGGTAAGAAGAAGCGAGTACTCGGTTAGAGTAAAAAGTAGAACTGTATTTATAATAGTTAATGTCTGCAATAAATCACTATTTATCTTCATCTAACTATGACTAAATACAAATGTGTAAATCAGTTATCTGCTCACCACTCATTGCGTGCGTCTGTCGTGGCGCGTCTTCGTTGGTTGATATAATGGCCTATATCAACCAATTAGGAACTACTCGGAAGTGCTACAGAATATTGTCCTTATGACAATATTCTGAGAATATAACTCTTATAGTTATATTCTATTAACAATTTCTTATAAATTGTTATGTAACGATTCACCCCGTTACAGTTACATAACCTCCCCTTGACCATCAATCACCCCGGCGATCAAATTAAAATGATTGGAGACAGAGCAATCACCGTTGGATCACTTTAAGAAAGAGGAACACTTGTTTGTCGAGTCTCATTTACCAATTCAGTCAACATCAGGCAGTGTATGTTGCGACTGAACCAAGTGGTGAGTCACCACGTGCGACAAATGCATCCGCTGCGTCTGCAGCAGGTGCTGCGACTCGCAATGCGGATGAGCCTGATATAAAGCTCATCTATTCTGGCGAGTTGGATGATGTATCCGACTCGAAGGCGGCACCTCCCGCCTCCGGATCGTCTAGGACGGACACAGCAAGAGCCAGGCTGATTGACTTTGGGGAGCGTGGCGGCATCATGTCCGAGACCTTGAAACTGAGCGATTCGTCCGACGAATCCTCACCTCACGCAAGTCCATCTAACAACAGAACGCGTGGTTATGGTGGTGACGCACCTATACGTCACCACGAGAGAAGCAACTCGAGGGTTAATCTGCTAATGGTGTCAGTGCTCATGCCGACACCTCCCAAGAGATTAGATACCGCAATGTCCTGCGCCATTCTCCTCAAGTGAGTTCTGCTTGGATGACACCATTAAAGGATTGGATCGAGTGGCCGGTACTGAACAAGATCGATTCCCGTTTTTCTACTGTAAGAGAATTTGTCCCCCTAATTCTAGCACGACACCTACCCGTGCTGAGGAAGAATGCTACACCGATTTTTTAAAGCATCGGTGGTACAATATCAACTGTGGCCGCGACGGTAATGCCTTGGTGCAGGGATGGAATGACTCTATCCAAAACATCGAGTGTATAGGCCGTGAGGCCTGGCTGAGTAAACTTGATGCAGCTCGCATCAGGTTTGAGAAGCGTAACCCAGTCGGTGTACGATACAAGTTGCACCGACTAACAAGAGAGGCAGGGTTATCCTGTCTCTGTGGGGCGGTCCTTGTCCAGGTTAATTGGAAAATGCTGAACGTGCCCCTAGTAAGTTCTACCTTCCTAATGATTCCTACTGGAGGGCGCACGTCTTTGCTGAGATGGCCAAAGGGATTGACACATTTCAATCCCTGTACTCGCGTTCGTAGAGGTCGTTTTCCGACGGCACTTCTTTGAACTCAGCGGGTGGGTCTAGTCATATTGCTCCACGAGACCCAAAACGTCAACAATCAGCTGGGCGCCTCGCGCCCAGCTGCCTTAGGTCCGTGGGTAGCTTCACCAGCAGACGAGGAAACTCGTCCGGACGCCCTTCACGTTGCGATGGTTCAAGTTACGCTCTATAAGAAAGCGTCCACCATTGCGTGAATCCACCAAAGAACGTGATGGAAGCGGGACACACGATTCGGCTCGAGGGTCAGATCAGCTCGATGTTCAGGAGCTGAACTGTGTAACGGAACGGTTGCAAGATGACATGGCTCATGAACGGACTCGGACTTATGAGCTCCATGATCTTGTAAGGGATAATTACAATTATTTAGTGCACGATCGTTCAAACGATCGTGCCGCGTGTGAGTTTGCGCAACTAAAGAACGAATGTTCGATTCGATCTCTTCGTGACGAGCTGACTGCAGCTCGTCGAGACATCGCTCAACTACGTGAGCAGGCCACTTCTCTAGTCGACCAGACTATCTCGTTTAAACAAGACCACTCGAGGGAGTCTCGGGCCTTAAACGCGGATGCATTCTTCATCTCTTGAAAGAGTGCGTACTGATAGTACGGGAGGAAACGTCCAACTTAAAACGTAGGATGCGTACGCATCTTACGGGGCAGTTCAATCGTGTATGCGTTGCCCATTCGGCGCAACACACGAAATGGACCGACATACTTGTGCATTAGTTTACTGCTGCCCACGTCTGTCACTGCGTATTTCGGTAGATTTACTGTAGACAGTAAAACTAAATCTCCTTTATCAAATGAAAGAACATTCATTTTCCGTGTTTGTCTGCGTTTCTTTTCTGTCTGTCTAGTGCATATGCAATAGAGTCTTGAACGAAGCGGACAACCGCTCCGCGAGTGAGCATAAAATCCTCTGCTAATTCATCCTTGTCAACAGCAGTGCGCTTCGTGTTCACTGCTGAAAAAACGTTGGCCTAACCAGTGAGTACGCCGTCGTCCTCGCTGTAGTAGTCGTTATTGATGCTATATATGCCAACATCGTCGTCATCACCATCATCTATGTCGATTTCATCGACATCGGCGTCCATCACGTCGACAACATTGTCGACGTGTGATGAGCAAGAACCGAACGGTATCTGTTCGAGCGAGTTTACCTTTCTCCTAAACTAGAGTCACACTCTAAGAAGGCGGGTAAGAGTGGATGGCGCAGGACATTCAAGATGAACGGTGTATGCGTTGTCGACGCATGCATCGAGTTGTTGATGGTGAATTCCGCCATCGGCAAGAACTCACCTTAGCTTGCAAACGAGTGGACGTAATTTCGTAGTATCTATTCGAGGACGTGGTTGACGCGTTTTGTCTGACCATCTGTTTCAGGATGGTCAGAAGTCGACATCTTCAATCGTGTTCTAGTGATCGGAACACGGATTGCCAGACTCCGCTGTAAAGCGGGGGTCTTTATCCGACACGACTTCACGGAAGAACCCGTGAAGTCGAAATATAGTATCGATGAAGACACGAGCACAACCCTGGGCTTTGATTGACTCCGGTACGGCAACAAGATGTAACATCTTGCTGAACCGATCAACAAACACAAGAATACCAGTTTTCTTGTGAGCTTCTTTGGGAAACCCGAAGACGAAGTCCATCGATACGGACTGCCAACACTCTGCCGGAATCGGGAGAGGCTGCAAGGGTGCGCGGGATGAAGGGATCGTCTTTACCCGCTGACAAAGTTCGCAAGCGCGAATTTATTTGCGCACAAGCTCATACTGGCGCGACCAGTATAAGTCACGACTTACCGTGAGGTAAGTCTTTTCTCTACCGCGATGCCCACTTGTTGGGGCATCACGACACTCATACATGAAGCGCAGTCGCAAATCATTATGAGCCGGAACGAAGACTCGAGGTGTGTCGCCGTTAACTGCTGTACAGTACAGCAGTCCATCACGAACCGAATACCGTTCGGTTGAAGAGCGGTATTGAGACGTCATGCTTTTCAAAGCTTAACTACATAGAATAGATACGTAATCCATCAATCGCAGAAGCTAATCATCTTCTTCGTATGCTTTCCGCACGTCGTCGAGCACTTTTTGACGACGAAACACTCACTGATAGTGTTGCAACAATGATATTACCCCCTACTGTTGGGTTGAGCAGTCGGCTCATAATCGGGCCGACGCGAAAGATTATCAGCGACGACATTAAGTCGTCCTGGTTTGTACTCGACGGAGAAGTTGTACTCCGCGAAGAAAGACATCCACCTTGCCATTCGTTGCAAGAGGTGTGGACTGTTCACGGCCGTGCGTAATATAATGACGCATGGTCGGTATAAACGATGAAGGGCCTATCTCCTCTAAAAGACAGACCCGAAACTTAGCCAGTGCATATTTCACGGCAGGTAGTTCCTTGTCATGCACTGGGTAGTTAATCTCAGCTTCTTGAAGTTGATGCGATTGATAACAGACTACGCGCTCAACGCCGTCCAAGTCGTACTGCATTAACGCGCAGCCGATTTTAAAATCGCTGGCGTCACAGACCACGTGAAATGGTCTGTCTCGGTCTGCGATTGTTAACACAGGCGATTTTGTCGAGCTTTTCTCAACACCTTCGAAGGAGTGCTGACATTCAGCACTCCTTGAATACCTATCGGTTTTCTTTATCAAACTAGAGAGATGTATGGTCATTTGGCGTAGTTGCGCAATTACTTGTGCAAGTACGCCGCTAAGCCAAGGAATTTTCGAAGTTCCTTGACGTCTACTGGCACAGGCCATTCGCTAATCGCTTTGATCTTTTCCGGATCAGGGCGTACACCGTTTTTACCCGCGATACAGCTAAGAAGTGGTATTTTGTTCGCTGCGAATAAAAACTTCTTGAGGTTCGCGAACAGCTTATGCTCTCGCATAAGTGTAAGAACCTTCACGACGTGGATTCTATAAACCTCCACGTCCGTCTTTCCATCCATAGCCCGGCTATGGACGAAGAAATGGTCAAAGTAACTCGGTGCGAAGTCGCGCACCCATCGCAACAGATTCGTAACACATCTTTTGAACGTTGGGGGGGGGCGTTACTTAGCCCCTGTGGCATTACTAGCCACTCCCGGAGAGAATACCACTGGGGGTGCTCACTGCTCTGTAAGGGATATCCCGTTCACGCAGGAGGACCTGCTAGAATCCATCCATCAGATCTGTGGATGAAAAGATGGTATTTTTTTCCTTACCATCTATGACATCCTTTCTTCTGATCGGCGTTTGAGCCGGTACCTTTGCAGCATTCACTTCGTTTAACGCGTGCACTATTTGCCACCCTCCTGTGGCCTTTCGCACACAAAAGGTCGGAGAGCTGTGAGGGTATGTTGATTCCCTCATATGATCAGCCGCTC